TTGAATTATAAACATGCACTTTAAAATACATATCTTTTGGAACTGAATTTTGGTAGGCGACTATTTTTCTACTGAATATTTAAGCAATGAAATTACGATTGAAATGTTTTCAGTTGAAATGTTCAATGTTTAAATGTATGCACATATTAAATTACAGTCCCCAAAAATTCAAAGCGTCATTAATGCAATGCGTTTTTATTCGATAAGTGTAATTCAACGTGTTTTTTTTCATCAACGACTTTTGTCATTAATTTACTTCCATGTCCATCTAGGTTGTTCTGCTGTGAGTTGCCTAGTATTCCTCTCGAATATAATGGGACTGAATGGCATTCTTTGTGGTGACTAATCAATCATGAAGAAATCAAGACACCTTGTGCGAAAAAGATTAAATTTTGAAAATATTTGTTAAAAAAAAACTTGAATAACATATATTTTTAAAGCTGTAATACATTCTGTGCCTGCCCACATTTGCTTCAATATAGGTTTTCCTCCACATTTAGAAAGGTTCACATACAATACACAAAGTTGGAATAACACTGGAAAAAGAACTGATTTGTTTTTAACAAGGAACTGTGATCCGTTGGTGCAATTAATAAAATTGTTTTATTAGGATTACTATTAAGTATTGATATAATTAAAACAAGAATAAAACTTCAGTAATTCAACAAGAACAAAAAAAAAGAACACTCAATTCAATTATTAAAAGAAAACAATTCATAAAAAATAAGCACAAGATATATGAACGCAGGACATTCCTACACAACTGCACTGCAACATCCACAACTGTGGAGCCCCATAGGTGTCATGGTAGAAAAAATATTCTCTCGTAATGATTCGTGCCACAACATATTTCCTTCTACCGTGACACCTGTGTGGCTCCACACACTACACTAGGGGCGTCAGAAGCATTTTGAATGTGGGGGGGGGATGACACTCTGGCATAAAATTAATATTTTTATGTTAAATGTGGGGGTGTCCAAACGAATAATTATGAAATGTGAGGGGGACACATCCCCCTCAGATTTAATGGCAGCGACGCCCATGCACTATACCACTAACCAAGACCATCACCATAAAGTCAGCATGGGGGGAGACAAGACCATAATTATAATATATATTGAGAGGGTATTGTGAGCAGCTCTGAATATTGGGGTGGGGGGTATATAATATAATTACAGCCTTGCTACCAACAATAGACTTTCATTTTATACAACGCTTACAAATAGCTTTGTGATGTAACTTACAAACATATTGGCCACACCTGAAGCACACTACACGTGTTTTTCTGTGCTTTGATCGATCACATAAGGCGCACCTTTTCCTTATTGCCTCACCCAGGAAAGGGGCCTGGAATTCCTTCACCGGCCGCACCATCCCGCGCACGTATGACCGCTGCTGCATTGCAGGAGCTACTAGGTCTTCACCCAGCTGCACCAGAAACACCTTACGTTTACTTCCGTTTTTGTACAGCCAGTCGGGATTTATGACATTCCAGACTACACAGGCATTGTGCGCGGCAATGTCCAGCATGTCACAGAAGAGTGCAAGTGTCCAGCGCGAAGTTTTTCGTATTGTACTATACGCTGCGGTCAGTTTGTTCATTGTATCTGCCCCACCTCTAGTTTCATGATAATCTGTTAAAATGCAGGGCTTTCGATCTACGCGACTGCTGATTTCCGGGTTCTGGTGGAACGTGCTCATTAGCACATACATTTTCCTATTTGTTTTCAGATACGACACAATGGTTGTGTTTGAGAAGAATCCGAATT